AAAAAAAAAAAAAAAAAAGAAAAGGCTTCCCGAAACTGGGGAACACAAAATGTTCTAGGCATTTACATTTGTACATTTCATCACCTCTTAGTTCACATTTTCCTTTCTTACTTTTTCCTAAGACAGATATTGATTAAAAAGTTAATGACTTCAAGAAATATTCCCAATACAAGTAGTTAAACTGAAAAGACCAAATGTTCTCATTTGAGATGCATTTTAGGCAGTTTTAAAAATTAAAATATAGCCAAACACCTGTATTCTAGTACTATTTCTGATACTGGTCTGATGAAATCTTCCAGGCTCCTCTCTTTTCTCCCCCACACCCCACTCGTTTTTCTTTTCCTCTAAGGATATTTCCTCCGACGTTCTGAGTGTTGTGCATAATAACGAGGAAAACATAAAAAGCTACATTAAACCTTAATTTCCTTTGTACACAGTTAATGTCCATTAAAAAACACAACTGCATGGCAAAACAATAATTACAAAAATCCCAACAACAACCAAAACTAATGGATAATCCCCTGTCCTCTGGAAGTTTTAAATATACAACAATGTGCATGGGACACATATCAAGTTTTCCTTTCTCAGTTTTCTCCTAAGAACTAACATTTTGTATGACATCCTATAGTTTATAAAGCACTTTCCCAATTATTCATTTGCTCCTGTCTTCCTGAGAAGACATTTAGCTTTTCTGGAATTGAGGGTAAAGGGTTAGGGAGACTGCTAATTCCCTTAATTCAGCATCTCATTATCTTTTCATAAGTACCCTAACTGGCCTCCCCAACCCTAGTGTCCTTCCAAGTCACCTCACAGGTGTCTTCCAAGGCAGTCTTGCAGCAGCCAGAACTGCTTCCTGCCCTCTCTGATCATCAGCTAATCCTGTCAAATCAGGCAGTGTAGCAGTCTTACCTTTGCAGCCTCCCATCCCTCTATTCCCTTTCACTTACTGCTTGGAACCACAGCTCAAAGTTCCTGTGTGCTTTCTGTCTTTGTTAACTTATAAAATGTCTTTCATCTCGGGGTGACTGGGTGGCTCAGTTGGTTAAGCATCCGACTCTTGGTTTCAGCTCAGGTCATGGTACCACTGTTTGTGGGTTCAAGCCCCACGTCAGGCTCCGCACGGTCTCTGTGTGGACAGTGTGCAGCCTGCTTGAGCATTTCTCTCTCTCTCTCTCTCTCTCTCTCTCTCTCTCTCTC